CTACTTTTTGTGATTTTTTTTTTTTGTGTGTGTAGATTGAAATGAAGCCCCTTAATACAACATAAGGAAATTGTGTAATTTTAATGGTTTTCATAATAACTGTTTAATAACCATAAGATGCAGTAAGAGCCTTTGTGTAAATTTTATTCTTTTTTTATTTTATTTATTTTTTTATTCCTTAGGCTGCAGCCTACGACTATCCCACATTTTGAAATTAACCGACTGGAAGTTTTCTAATGATTTTTAAGGATGTTATAATGGCAAAATATCATAATTCCAGTCAGTTTGCAAACTTTCCCTTTGCGCCACCTGGCGGTAGTTTCGTGACCAACTTGTAACACACAACTGACTTGCAGTTAACGCCCCACGGCGGTGGTACACGCGGCGGTAATAGGCATTTTGGTTGTCCAACTACTGTATATCCACCATATTAGCAGCAGCAGATTGAAAGGTGAATCTTACAAAATTGTATTTCCTGCAAGCTTTTTTCTAGGTAATTTTAAGTGTCTTTCCAACAAAAAGTACACTTGGAAAAGGACACCAAATAACCAAGGATATAAGTCCATTTAATTCACAAATGTAAGCACACCAAAGCACACATGAAGAAAAAACATACACAAAAAAAGCAAGAGCAATAGAGCAAATTTTCGAGAATTCACAGTGTACAGTATGGGTAAAGTACAACAGCAAAGAGCTTGTTTATATTTTAGACAAGTCAAGTTGCGATACCGAACAGGACCACATGGAGATGCCAGAAAACCCTAAACTAACCGCCTTGACCTGACTGCATATACCTACTACAATACACGGATCCATAAAGGGATGGGATGTTTTGAAGTTCCGTTCAGTCTGTATTTCATGCAGGGTGACATGTGAGGAAACAATCACAGAATATGACAGAGCTTGTGTTTTAAACCCAAACACGCAATGAGAAATTCACTGAAAACACAATGCGAGTCTCTATTCTCTCTGCCATCTCTGATGTAATCAGCCTGGTTTTCATTACATTAGCGCTGTTTTGGACTGATTTTTCGAATTAATTTACTTACTGGATCATTGGACTGAAAACTTTCCAAGAGTTTAGCGGATTAAAATTATGTAATCACAAACCGAGAAGCAAAATCAGGTTAGAATATAAATTTCTGCCTACCAGGGTTACAGGTTCTTGCACCATTGTAGATGCGTAGTGTGATACACTCCTGATTCCCAAGATCATCTAACTGCATGATGTAAATTTTGGTAATGATGCAATTTCTTGTGCTTCAGTAATCAGCATTATTTGCATTAAATTATTTTAAGGACTTTGAATTTATATATATATATATATATATATTGAATTTATCTATACTTATTGAATATTCAGTTTCCAAACACTGAGCCATGCAGCCAGTTCTGAGTAACAGATTTTTTTTTGTATGCTACCTGTAATATCTTTAATATGTACCTACCTTCAGTTGGTACTGATTACTGTGAAAGAATGTCCAAGAGAACGCATGAGACATAAGCCCCTTTTGTTCATATAAAAATTAATAATAGTAGAACACATAAAATATAGAGATAAAATATAATAGTTAAAAAGTTAAAGCCCTTACAATACAGTCTTAATTGTGCAGGTAATACAAATTAAACATCACCAATGTAAAGCTGTGACAGCAGTACATGGCTAGTGCTAAGTGGTAGTGGTAATTATTGCCTGTGCATATTAAATAACCCATAAAATGATAACGTGTAATCTGTAAATTGTTCTTAATCCCGTGGTGTCTGATGCTGTTTTTAAACAGGAAAAATTGAAGAAGATGACACACGGAGACAGCAAGAAGAGGAGAGAAGACGTCTGGAACGTTTGGAACGTGAGCAAAGGATTCAACAGGAGCTAAACAGAGAGAGTGAACTGTCCAGACTCAAGCTTTCTCGAGCAACTGAGCGACTTCGTGAAAAAAAGCGCTTCAGAGGTCATGAGAAACATCATGAACGTACACGAGTTCTCCATCAGCAAATAGAAGATGATGCTGCTGCGATTGAGAGGAACGAGGTATGCCTTTAATTCAGATTACATTACATTACTGTATAATACAGCATGTGATAAAGTAGCACTTTTTACTGAGACCCAATATTGTTTTTCACATGTATTTATGTAGGTTATTGATGTTGAAGAAAAATTCAAAGAGCTTTTATTAAAGTACCAGATCACAGAAGATAAAGAGATACAGCAGCACCAGATTTGGAGCAGGATTAAGATACTCCAGAATGAACTTGCAGTTCAATACTGTAGAGAAAACAACCTTTCACTATGGTCTCAGTTTACCTTTGATCAATCTGTAAGATATAACGAACTGTCTCTTACAGAGAAGCTCACAGTTCTTGAGGCATCTGTACAGTTCATTATGCACAGTAGCACTGAAGATGCTAAAGATGATGAAGATCAGCTGCTTGGTTGGGAGACGAAGTACCACTTTTTCTTGGGTTTGGTGGAGCAGCTTCATTCCACAAGTCCAACTTTGGCGGAACGCATTTTGTTAAATGTACTTGACACAATCTCAGAGCTTTCACCCCAATGTAGGGACATTTTGGGTCAAATGTTGTTCAACAGAATCTGGACACCAACAGAAATAATGCTCTTACTTTGCAGAAGTCCAGCTATCAAATGCCATCAACTCGATTCAGTTCTCTACACAGCACAAACCTACCACCTGGACTGCATCCTCGTTCTCTCTGCTCTTACGAATGAAAACCCTTTAAACTTTCTTCAAGGACAAATAAACGACAAGGAAAAAGATGCTGATACAATTGTGAAGGAACTTCGTGAAGCAAACTGCCCAGATAAAGTCTTAGTGCTGTTGAAGGATGTGCTAAGATACATGGAGTCAGAACTCCCAAAATATCAATTGGTGGACCTTACCAAGATACAAATTGCTGAATTGAAAAGGAAGATAACATCTCTTAATTTTACAAACCTAGATATCATCCTTTTGAAAGACGTATTAATTGGGATGTCAATAGCAGTGCAAGACTGCTCAACAATCATCACAGAAGACAATGTGAAAATTGAAGGCTATTTTCCAAGACTTACACAACTAGCATCATTGCTTTTGCTTCTTCTGGCACAGGTGGCAGAAAATAAAGGATGTCTTCTAGAGATTGGCACAGGTGAGGGCAAGTCCTGTATCTTAGCCATGTTTGCAACAATTCTGGCTATTCATGGAACAAAAGTGGACATTGTGACGAGCTCTCAGATTCTCGCCCGAAGAGACCAAGAAGAGTGGGAAAAGTTTTTTCAAATGTTTGGTGTCACCTCATCTGTAGTACCCCCATGTTACTCAAGTGACTATTCACCAGAGGAACAAGAGGAATGTCTTAAAGATGCTTACAGGCAGCAAATAGTATACGGCACAGTGGGAGCCTTTGCAGCAGACACACTCAAACAGGAATTTGAGAAGAGGACTACTCGCGATACAAGGCAGTTTGAGCTTGTAATAGTGGATGAGGTGGACTATATGACCTTGGACAATGGAGTTCAAGTAACATTCTTGTCCCATGAATCTAGTGGATTCAGGCATGTGGAGCAAGTGCTTTCCAACATATGGGCCATGATATCTAGTTGCCAACCAATTGAAATGCTTGAAACAGGAGAGGTAAAATGGGCAACAAGGATACAATACTTTCATAAAGCCACAACGGCAGCCGTTATGGGACTGGAAGCATCAGACAACTTTTCTGCAAATGAGATCTTGTTGCCCGGAGTGACTTTGGGATTCTACACCCACGAAGATCTTGAAATGATACATCAGGCTGAGAGTAAGAAAGAAAATGAAAGTGATGGGAATGAGGACAGAATGTCCAAAGCACTGTCTGAAGTCATTAAGAAACTTGGAGTTTCACAACAGTACGATCTCTTGGGTATATTTGAGGAGGTCTTGGAAAACAGTGTAGTGTTTAAGTGCTATTCTTTAGAGAACAAGAAAGCCAAATGTTCTGAAGCTCAGGAAAAACAAGGTGACCTTGAAGTTGAAATGTTACTGCTGGAAGGAGGACTGGCATGTGAAATCATGTCTGAGAAATCGCTCATTGATGCAACTGTAAGCACAATAAAGTCATCTATCAAGTACTCAGATAACCTCCAGACAGCCAAAGAATCCAACAACTTCATTATCATCCCTGTTTTCTTGAAAAGCTACGTTGAGAATCAGTTACCAGTGTTTGTCGAAAATGCACTGAAGGCTGTTGAGATGTCGCGCGGCAGAGAATACATGATCGACGCCTCACCGGCTGCTGAAAGAGACACTGCCAGTCATGACAGAGACAAGTATAAAGCAATAATTCCAGTGGACTTCAAAGCGAGCGGTATGCTAGAGAAAAACAAGAAGTGGGGTAATGGTCTGCAGCAATTTTTAGAGTTCAAGCACCAACTTGCGATTTCGCCGATATCCAATGTGACAAATTACATGTCAAATTTCCATTTTTTCAAAAGGTACCTCAGCGGGAGAGGTATATTTGGTGTTTCTGGTACATTAGGAGGTAAAGCAGATCAGGACTTTCTGGCAAGACATTACAAAGCAACAAGCTACATTGTACCTGCACATCGCCATAAAAGGGTGGTGGAGCTTCCAGTCATCCAGGTGAAAGGTGGCAATCAGCAATGGATCCAGACCGTTTGTGAAACTTCATGGAAAGTAGCAGAGAGAGGACAAGTTGTCTTGGTAATTTGCGAAGATGTTAAAACAGCAGATGAACTACACAAGACAATACAAGATGAAGGCAGATTTAAGGCAGAACAGATTACTCTGTATACAATCAGTGAAAGGCACAACATTGAAAGAGAGAAATTCTGTGCAGGCAGAATCATCATTGCTACAAATCTGGGAGGACGGGGGACAGACATAAAGGTTGATGAAAGCGTGAATATGTGTGGTGGTCTTTTTGTTCTTCTTACTCACTTTCCACACAACCGAAGAGTCGAGAAACAAATGTTTGGCCGTACATCTCGAAAAGGCAATCCTGGGATGGTCCAGATGGTTTTGAACTGTGATCATCTCGCACCCGCTTACCAAGGTCAGTCTGTGGAAATCATGCGGGAACTAAGAGAGGATTATGAAATTAAACGAATCCACGACATGGAAAGTGATGAGCTGGTTGAGATAAACCTAAAGGAAAATCTATTCTCCACGTTTCGTAAATTGCTGAAGGACTTTGATGTGCATTACTTCAAGAAAGAAAAACAAGACCCCATGCAGATGCAGCTCAATGATATTCCTGATTGCTTTAAACATCATCAGCCTAAATTTGATTATCAGCCTGCTGTCAATGCTTTGAAAGAATCTTGGGCCTTGTGGTTAACCCTTCATGAGGATCACATCAATAGGCATGATGACTTTGGACAACTTGAAGCAGACCTTATCAGAACAATAAATAAAACAAGTGGAAAGCTGCTGCAAGGAGAATGTGATAATTTCTATGATCACGTCAAACAGGCAATTGTTAGAACTGATCTACACTGCCGTGAAAAATCCAGCAGTGATTATGGAGCTAAATCCTATTGGCAAAAAGTTGCGAACTCTGACCCACACTACAGGGCTGTGGCACTCTATAACCAGGCGTTCATCACCATCAACCTTGGTAAAGGTAACTATAAAGCAGATGCTATGAACCTGCTGGAAGACGCAAAGAAATCCATTGATGTCTATATCTCAGAAGTCTCAAACACAATGGTCTCATGTAACTTATCAGTCACTGGAAACAAAGATCAGAGCACAGACACCAACAACTTTCAGAGTCAAATGGAAGCCAGAATGAACATCTTTAAGTGTTGGATGACGTACATTGATAATGCATTGATTAAACTTAAAGAACTGGAAAAAGACAACAGTGACGCCATTACAGAGGAGTGTTCAGTCTACATGCTGTCCGAAGAAAAGAACTTCATCATCACTAATGAGCTCAGATCCTTATACGACTATGGCCTCGGTGTTGTTTTTGAGGTGAAAAAGAAGCCCAAGTTTTGCTTTGATGCTTTGATATGTTTCATACTCGGCATGGTACAGGTTCTCGCTGGGGTTCTTGTTTGTGCACTAACACTTGGAACAGCCAGCCAGTTTGGATTAGGACTGATTTCAGAAGGAGTGTCTGACATGATCAGTGGAGTAGAGGGGATGATAAAGGGTTCATTCGATTGGGTGTCATGGGCAATATCTAAGAGTATCAGCATTGGGCTTTCTTTGATAACGGCTGGCTTTAGCGTTATAAAAAAAGCAGTTACCTCAGTGTTTAAAGTGACAAAAAGTCTCCTCAGTGGTACAAAGTCTTTTTCTTCTGTTGCATCTGAATTCATCAAATCAGGAAAGGCAGTGTTTACTTCATTCAAAGGAGGTGTTCAGTCTGGTTTATCATCCCTCAGTAAGGAATCTTTTAAGTCTGCAATGAAAAACATGACATCATCTACAGTGATCAAACAGAACTTCAAATGTGCGACTAAATATGCAGTTCAGGAAATCGGGAAACAGTCCGTGCTCACTATCATGAACTACGCAATCGATTCAGCCCTTCAGGAAGTCTTTAAGAAGATTTTACAAAGCAGCTTTGAGAAGGTTGTTACTTCATCAGTGAAGCAGAGCCGTGAACTGGATCAGAATCTTGTGGAGTTTATCAGCTCAGGCATTCCGAAAGCTGCATTGAAAAAAGAGGATTTCAAGTTTGACCAGGCTTATGAGAAGCAAATAAAAAAAACAGTTGGTATGCTCTGCGAAGAGGTAATTCCTCACCTCATACTGGACTGTACCACAGCACGGGATGTTATCAGCAAACTCTCTGAAGTGTGTGAAGCAGCATCAGAACTTATGAATAAAGCCAAACTGTCAGGAGTGCATGGAATGGCAAAGCTGGCTCTGAAAGTATCTAAGGGCTCAGCAGATCTAGTTCAAATATTGGGTGCCATACCAACAAGGCACATAATACAAGATCAATTTGTTCCTGAGTTAATGGAGAGCATCAGTGAGCTTCAGAAAGAAATGACAAAGTATGACCAAGATGGGCAACACCATTTACACGATGTACAGCGCCTTAAAGGTGAACTTCTTCAGACTATCGCCCAGAAGGTGTCTGACCAATTCATCATTTACTGCTCTGAACATATAACTTCTTTAATGACAAGCACATTTAAGAGTCATTTAAACAGTGCTGCAGTACAGGCGGTGGACCATGTCATGTGCAGACATAAAACTCAGCGCTTCTTTGATGACCAGAGGGAAAAACACAACAAGAGATCTGCGAGCCACAAGGAAGTGGAACAGCTGTCAGATGAGGACAAAACAAACCTAATGCAGTATACAGAAGATATGTGCAAAGCCGATCAGCCTACAGCAGCCCTCGATGTGTACGTGCTCACAAAAAGCAACCTGCTCAGTGGAAAAGGAATTGAACTCACTGTCGTTGATGAAAATGGAAAACAGCTCACTGTGGAACGTTACCCAGGAACCAACAAATCAGCAGGCGATATAAAACTGAGATTAACTAAACCTGCAAAAGACACACATCCATCACAGTAAGACTAATCACTAGAGCGTTACATAGCTCACATATAAAAATACATTTCAGTGTTAATGCTTATGAACTTTGTGTACTGAATGTAGTTACTTTTCATTTTACAAACAGAGCTGATACACAGCTGTACAGTGGCTGTTTTGACATTGTACAGGATGATGGCAGGATAGTCAGCGTTAACTCGGATCATCAGAACGCTCTTTATCACGCTGTAGCACAAGCAACTGGCAGCGAGACAAAGGACCTACAGAAGGAAGCTTTGATTCTACGTATAAAAGTTAAAAATGAGGTGAGTAAACTTAATTTATGGCTCTGATTTATTCATGGGACAACGTGTGCACAATAAGTGCCAGATTTTAGTTCTAGATCTGTTCAAATTGACTGGCTGTTTCTCAAAAAGACAGACAGACTGTTCAACCGACAGATCACTTTATTCATCTCAGAGGGAAATTCCCAAAGAATTCATCATTACTATAGAAGTTCATCACCTGATTACCTTTTAGGAAAATATATGAGCTGAGAATGTGGGTTAAAAGCCAGCCCAGCTCACGTCACCTACTGATAAAATATGGAACAGAATTCCTTTGTAAGGAATAAAACACTCAGGGGGTGCTGTTATAGGAAAATAATCAATAACTGGGAAAAAAAAAAAGATTTCGGGTTCGGGTCGGGTTCGGGCTCTAAATTGAACTGTGCTGCTCGGGTCGGGCTGGGTCAGACGATCTCGGGTACGGGTCGGGTTCGGGCCTCTGTTTAAAGCATGTGCAGACCTCTACTATGTTCACGCGAATCATTCGTGATCCAGCTTGAGTAAACAAGGCTAAAGTAAACTTTCCTGGCTAAAGTAAACAGTATCATGAGAACGGCTCGTCACCCACAGAAGAGAGGGGCGGGGTCAGCAGAGCTCATTAGCATTTAAATCAACATGGACTAGAACAGCGTGCTGAAAACAGAGCTGATTTTGACAGGGTAAAAAGGTGTTTGTTACACTACCATTGAGAAATTTTAACCAAAGTATGTTACAGACTCTTCATTAAGACCCTAAAGAATCATAAAAAACGACAAACATGGCGAATGTGCGCAACCGATGGTTAGTAGAAAGATTTAGATAAAGGGGTTTGAGATACTAATAATCAACATTTAACCTGGAAAAAATATACAATGTTATATGTGTTATATTTCATCTGCAACAACGTGAACGTTTGTAAACATCTGTTTGGCCATTAACTTTTAAATGCATCATCATGCAAAAATATGAGCAGAGTTCTCCGCATAAAGACCCACTGATGGCAGATCAACGTGCCAATTAATTTCTCTCCAATACGGTAGGAAGTTAAATTTAATTAATTATGGAGAATGTTAACTGTGACAAGATGATTGACAGGCGAGTTTACAGTGACATGGTGCATGTAACTGTCTCAAAGCTTGCCTACTCTTCTACTACACACTCAAAAGTGTGTACTCTTTCCTCACCAAAAGAGTACATACTTTAAGGGCGTAGTATAAGTAGGCACATTGGGACGCAGCAATAGGATTTTGCAGTGTATCATATCATTACAAGAATTCCCAAGGGGATTAATTAGTAAAGATTTTTGAGGAGGACTTTTTGAGAAGCACATTTGTCTCACATCTCTGGGATAGGGGGTTCGATTCTGCCTCTACCCTTTGTCTGCGGAGTTTGCATGCACTCCCCAAGTCTTAGGGTGTCCTCTGGGTACTCGTTTCCTTCCCCAGTCTAAAGACATGAGATGCAGGTTGATTGGCATCTCTAAATTGTCTGTAGTGTGTGAATGTATATGTGATTTTGCGATAAGTTTGCTCCGCGTTCATGGTGTCCCCCACCTTGTGCCCCAAGTGTCCTAGGATAGGCTCCAGGCTTCCCGCAACCCTGTGTAGAGCAAGGATGAATGAATGGATGAAAATACCATTCCTGACCATTCAGTGTATGGAGTTACTCAGTCATCTGCGCATGTGACGAGATGATCAGGATTATGTTTAATCTCAGACTTGTAATTTCTCACTAGATCCAGACAAACCTTGGGTCGTACACACCCCTGCTTATTCTCCAGAGAGGATACGACTTCTGTCACAAAAACCCCAGTAAATACAGCATAACTGGAGGAAGTATAAAGAAGACCGACGTTGCACTGCAGAAATACTTGCAGAGTGTTAAATTCATCAGAAGTGGCGAACGAATCCTCATCAAAATGTACCATCTTGGGTTTGTTGGTGAATATAAAAGGTAAAGAATCTGATTGCCGAAGGTGATTTCTGTTATTTAATCACAACACAACACCACTGTGTATGGAGATCCACGAAAGAAAGAGGATTCACCTGATATTTAAAAATAGTATGCATCACTAGGAGTGTCATGTGTCCATTTATTTGATTCTATACAACAACAGAAGCTAGAGGAACCTATGCTCTAAAGAAAGACAACAGTGACGCCATTACAGAGGAGTGTTCAGTCTACATGCTGTCCGAAGAAAAGAACTTCATCATCACTAATGAGCTCAGATCCTTATACGACTATGGCCTCGGTGTTGTTTTTGAGGTGAAAAAGAAGCCCAAGTTTTGCTTTGATGCTTTGATATGTTTCATACTCGGCATGGTACAGGTTCTCGCTGGGGTTCTTGTTTGTGCACTAACACTTGGAACAGCCAGCCAGTTTGGATTAGGACTGATTTCAGAAGGAGTGTCTGACATGATCAGTGGAGTAGAGGGGATGATAAAGGGTTCATTCGATTGGGTGTCATGGGCAATATCTAAGAGTATCAGCATTGGGCTTTCTTTGATAACGGCTGGCTTTAGCGTTATAAAAAAAGCAGTTACCTCAGTGTTTAAAGTGACAAAAAGTCTCCTCAGTGGTACAAAGTCTTTTTCTTCTGTTGCATCTGAATTCATCAAATCAGGAAAGGCAGTGTTTACTTCATTCAAAGGAGGTGTTCAGTCTGGTTTATCATCCCTCAGTAAGGAATCTTTTAAGTCTGCAATGAAAAACATGACATCATCTACAGTGATCAAACAGAACTTCAAATGTGCGACTAAATATGCAGTTCAGGAAATCGGGAAACAGTCCGTGCTCACTATCATGAACTACGCAATCGATTCAGCCCTTCAGGAAGTCTTTAAGAAGATTTTACAAAGCAGCTTTGAGAAGGTTGTTACTTCATCAGTGAAGCAGAGCCGTGAACTGGATCAGAATCTTGTGGAGTTTATCAGCTCAGGCATTCCGAAAGCTGCATTGAAAAAAGAGGATTTCAAGTTTGACCAGGCTTATGAGAAGCAAATAAAAAAAACAGTTGGTATGCTCTGCGAAGAGGTAATTCCTCACCTCATACTGGACTGTACCACAGCACGGGATGTTATCAGCAAACTCTCTGAAGTGTGTGAAGCAGCATCAGAACTTATGAATAAAGCCAAACTGTCAGGAGTGCATGGAATGGCAAAGCTGGCTCTGAAAGTATCTAAGGGCTCAGCAGATCTAGTTCAAATATTGGGTGCCATACCAACAAGGCACATAATACAAGATCAATTTGTTCCTGAGTTAATGGAGAGCATCAGTGAGCTTCAGAAAGAAATGACAAAGTATGACCAAGATGGGCAACACCATTTACACGATGTACAGCGCCTTAAAGGTGAACTTCTTCAGACTATCGCCCAGAAGGTGTCTGACCAATTCATCATTTACTGCTCTGAACATATAACTTCTTTAATGACAAGCACATTTAAGAGTCATTTAAACAGTGCTGCAGTACAGGCGGTGGACCATGTCATGTGCAGACATAAAACTCAGCGCTTCTTTGATGACCAGAGGGAAAAACACAACAAGAGATCTGCGAGCCACAAGGAAGTGGAACAGCTGTCAGATGAGGACAAAACAAACCTAATGCAGTATACAGAAGATATGTGCAAAGCCGATCAGCCTACAGCAGCCCTCGATGTGTACGTGCTCACAAAAAGCAACCTGCTCAGTGGAAAAGGAATTGAACTCACTGTCGTTGATGAAAATGGAAAACAGCTCACTGTGGAACGTTACCCAGGAACCAACAAATCAGCAGGCGATATAAAACTGAGATTAACTAAACCTGCAAAAGACACACATCCATCACAGTAAGACTAATCACTAGAGCGTTACATAGCTCACATATAAAAATACATTTCAGTGTTAATGCTTATGAACTTTGTGTACTGAATGTAGTTACTTTTCATTTTACAAACAGAGCTGATACACAGCTGTACAGTGGCTGTTTTGACATTGTACAGGATGATGGCAGGATAGTCAGCGTTAACTCGGATCATCAGAACGCTCTTTATCACGCTGTAGCACAAGCAACTGGCAGCGAGACAAAGGACCTACAGAAGGAAGCTTTGATTCTACGTATAAAAGTTAAAAATGAGGTGAGTAAACTTAATTTATGGCTCTGATTTATTCATGGGACAACGTGTGCACAATAAGTGCCAGATTTTAGTTCTAGATCTGTTCAAATTGACTGGCTGTTTCTCAAAAAGACAGACAGACTGTTCAACCGACAGATCACTTTATTCATCTCAGAGGGAAATTCCCAAAGAATTCATCATTACTATAGAAGTTCATCACCTGATTACCTTTTAGGAAAATATATGAGCTGAGAATGTGGGTTAAAAGCCAGCCCAGCTCACGTCACCTACTGATAAAATATGGAACAGAATTCCTTTGTAAGGAATAAAACACTCAGGGGGTGCTGTTATAGGAAAATAATCAATAACTGGGAAAAAAAAAAAAGATTTCGGGTTCGGGTCGGGTTCGGGCTCTAAATTGAACTGTGCTGCTCGGGTCGGGCTGGGTCAGACGATCTCGGGTACGGGTCGGGTTCGGGCCTCTGTTTAAAGAATGTGAAGAACTCTACTATGTTCACGCGAATCATTCGTGATCCAGCTTGAGTAAACAAGGCTAAAGTAAACTTTCCTGGCTAAAGTAAACAGTATCATGAGAACGGCTCGTCACCCACAGAAGAGAGGGGCGGGGTCAGCAGAGCTCATTAGCATTTAAATCAACATGGACTAGAACAGCGTGCTGAAAACAGAGCTGATTTTGACAGGGTAAAAAGGTGTTTGTTACACTACCATTGAGAAATTTTAACCAAAGTATGTTACAGACTCTTCATTAAGACCCTAAAGAATCATAAAAAACGACAAACATGGCGAATGTGCGCAACCGATGGTTAGTAGAAAGATTTAGATAAAGGGGTTTGAGATACTAATAATCAACAGGAAAAAATGAAAAAATATACAATGTTATATGTGTTATATTTCATCTGCAACAACGTGAACGTTTGTAAACATCTGTTTACTTTTAAATTTTTAAATGCATCATCATGCAAAAATATGAGCAGAGTTCTCCGCATAAAGACCCACTGATGGCAGATCAACGTGCCAATTAATTTCTCTCCAATACGGTAGGAAGTTAAATTTAATTAATTATGGAGAATGTTAACTGTGACAAGATGATTGACAGGCGAGTTTACAGTGACATGGTGCATGTAACTGTCTCAAAGCTTGCCTACTCTTCTACTACACACTCAAAAGTGTGTACTCTTTCCTCACCAAAAGAGTACATACTTTAAGGGCGTAGTATAAGTAGGCACATTGGGACGCAGCAATAGGATTTTGCAGTGTATCATATCATTACAAGAATTCCCAAGGGGATTAATTAGTAAAGATTTTTGAGGAGGACTTTTTGAGAAGCACATTTGTCTCACATCTCTGGGATAGGGGGTTCGATTCTGCCTCTACCCTTTGTCTGCGGAGTTTGCATGCACTCCCCAAGTCTTAGGGTGTCCTCTGGGTACTCGTTTCCTTCCCCAGTCTAAAGACATGAGATGCAGGTTGATTGGCATCTCTAAATTGTCTGTAGTGTGTGAATGTATATGTGATTTTGCGATAAGTTTGCTCCGCGTTCATGGTGTCCCCCACCTTGTGCCCCAAGTGTCCTAGGATAGGCTCCAGGCTTCCCGCAACCCTGTGTAGAGTAAGGATGAATGAATGGATGAAAATACCATTCCTGACCATTCAGTGTACAGAGTTACTCAGTCATCTGCGCATGTGACGAGATGATCAGGATTATGTTTAATCTCAGACTTGTAATTTCTCACTAGATCCAGACAAACCTTGAGTCGTACACACCCCTGCTTATTCTCCAGAGAGGATACGACTTCTGTCACAAAAACCCCAGTAAATACAGCATAACTGGAGGAAGTATAAAGAAGACCGACGTTGCACTGCAGAAATACTTGCAGAGTGTTAAATTCATCAGAAGTGGCGAACGAATCCTCATCAAAATGTACCATCTTGGGTTTGTTGGTGAATATAAAAGGTAAAGAATCTGATTGCCGAAGGTGATTTCTGTTATTTAATCACAACACAACACCACTGTGTATGGAGATCCACGAAAGAAAGAGGATTCACCTGATATTTAAAAATAGTATGCATCACTAGGAGTGTCATGTGTCCATTTATTTGATTCTATACAACAACAGAAGCTAGAGGAACCTATGCTCTAAAGTAGTTTACTAGTTCAAATACATTTAATTCTTTCGAATTCTCATTCTCTCTGTGCAGTGTTGTAAGTGCTCGGAGGTCCGGTAAGAACACCACAGGGACACTTAACACAAGCCACATTCCACCAAAGGACTCCATCAGACTTGCCGAGTCGGTCATAGATAACCCAAACTCAGTGAGCGAGTTTAAAAATAAAAACCTGCCACTTTATAAACTAATCAGCAACATAAAGACTGACAGCAATGGATGGAACCTGATTACCATGGAGGTTCTGGGACAAGATCACAGACGAGCTTTAACTACGGGCCCAAGCAGCCACTCACAGAAGGCCAGGTAACATTCACATCCATTGTGTTAATGGTTATGTACGAAATTCTCATCTAAGACAACTACACAGAATTCCAATTAACACCACAGGAATTTGTAGTAATATTAAACCTTGAACATTTACAGCATTACAAATGTTAAGCAGCTGAGTGTTTATTTTATAGAAACAAAGGAAATGGCTAAATGGGCTGTTAACATTTCTTTCTTTTTCAGGAAACTTCTAGCAGACAGCATAATTAGTGGAGACGTGGAGCTTCTGCTGAAACGCTGCATGATTCTTCATCACCCGCTCACCTCACAAAAGCTGAGAGAAGCTCTAGGTAAGAAACTCTGAGGTGTTAATCCTGTGAAACGCATGATCTGTCCTCCAGCAGATACTGTGATTTGTCAGGGTGTTTATGGTAGACACGGTAATGCAGCAGTTACTGGAATATTACAGCAGTTTCACCACACTGCTGTTGATTATTTTAATTAAAAAACACTTAATTAATTACAGCAGCTCTGACTGCATAGAACAGCGCACAGCAGACACTCCACTGACAATAAACAGATTAAAAGCTTGCGTAATCGTTTACATCTTTAAAATTCTTTAGTCTCTCTAAATTTGACTGTCAATTTAGCCATATACATGAAACATGAAATATAAAGCATGCATGACAGAACTGATAGTCTAAGAGTAAAAGAGCTGCAGTGGTGCTGCACTAAACAATATGCTTGTGTGTAATTCCAGGTGAAAGCATTCCCTCTCAGTGCCACGTTTTGTCCGATGAAGGTATCCGAGGCTACTACAAAGCAGGATACCGAAACCTGGTGTCAGAGTATAACCGCATGGGAATGCTGGATCAGAACCAGTGTGAGCGTCTGGACGAGTGGGTGACTCAGAACCAGCACGAGGACACTAGCACTGCAGAGTATGGCCAGGTTCTGCAGGGGCTACAGTGTTAGTGAACACAAGTTCTCTTCAGCGCCTTATGATAAATATGACGATGAAGATGATGCCTATAGAAAGATGAAATGTATTAATCTCTGAAATTGCATTCACTGCACACACAAAAAAAAACAAGTAAAGATATATTGTTTTGTTAGTAGATCAGTTTGGTCATTTCAAGCATTTTTAGAAAGGACCATAAAATAAGCATTTAGGGGCCAGTCTCACATTTATGCAGAAGTGCACTTTCACACACAATATCAGCCCAAAGTAGTGGTCTTCTACTGTATACCATATGGCCATGCAATTGAAAGAACCTCAACACCTGAGTGTGTTTCCTAGCTGTAATGTATATATTTGCATCACTTCAATCAGCTGTTCCTCATAAACAATGGAATAAAATACAGGGGATATATTTGTTTCAATTCAAAATATGAAAAGCTGTTCACTTTGACTTTAGCCTATAAGTTAGGTTTAGCCGTCTTTCGTCATCCGCCTGCATGACAGTCAGCAGGAGTGAGAAAAAAGTGTTCATTACGTTTGAAATATGGATATTTATCTTACAAAAATGCATGGATTTGCTACAGGAGGCTTTTATTCACCCCCGGAGCCGTGTGAGGGATGTTTTATTACGGATGCGCGCACTTTATTTCACGTCTTCTGAACTGTTGACAACCGACACCCGCTTACCCCCACTGAAAGGCTTGGAGGGGCCAGGACAATTTTTAATACAACTACGACTGGATTAGTCTGAAAGAAGGTCACATACACCTAGGATGCTTTAATGGTGAGTAAAACACAGACCTTATAGGGTTAGTTCACCCAAAAAATTTAAATTAGCCTGAGTTAAATGGGTTTTTACCCTCACTACCTCACTGTAATGTTTCTTTACACCTTTCTGCTTATGCTGACGATGTTATTGTTTTTATATCAAGTTCTGATGATGTTAACAAATTGGAATGTATTGCTAATGATTAAAAAAACAAAAACCTCTGCCAAAATCAATTGGGAAAAGAGTGTAGCCCTTCTTATGGGTGATTGGAGCAGAAACTTTCTTAATTTGTGATCTTTTACACAGCTCAGGTATTCTGCTGGTTTGTAGTCTCTTTTCAGGTGTAAACACAGCTCCATCTTCTTTTGTATTTTAGTGGCATCTTTCCAATAGGCAGTGTCATTTTGTTTTTGTAACTGGTAATTACATTACATGTCAAATGGTAATAACAAAATCAAATTAGAATAAAACTGCAAATGTGGAAAAACAAACTTTTTTTTTTTACTGCCGTATGAAATGCCAACATGTATTTATGCATACATCTTACAGATTTTTGGCTAAAAACACAAGCCTGTAAACTTGATCTGGCTTTCCGGTGGTACTAAAAGCCCTCTCTGAAGGAGAGTATTTCTTCGCCACTTTTGAAAGCCTTGGGTAGACCTTTTCATTTTCCTTCCACCATTATAGTGGGTCCCCCTCACTATCCAGGTTGCATGACTGTAAGTAACGCAGCTCACAGGCTACACTGGGTTCCACATGACTACAGTCGCTATTCCAGATCATTTAAAGTTCTGCATGGATTAAGTTTTCCACGAAGGCTATAGTTTGGGAAAAGCGCAACTAGTAAATGAGTGCTGCAGGTTACAATGTAGCCTAAGTAAGAATGAATGTTTTTCTCGTCAGAAATAATCTCCTCCACTGAATCAATCAGCACGTCGCATTGCGTTCTTCTTCTGAATTCAAGGTTTATTCCTCAGTCTTTGAATGATTACCGTATGAATACAGTGTGAGTGTGACCACAGATAATGAGCTCAGACGGGAATCACTGCACCTCTCGTTGGTTTCATAAGAATTACATCATTTAAATCGAAAAATCTGTTTGTTTCATTTAGAAGCAGACTGTAATGAGTCCACTGGAGGCGAGTTGAAAAGAACCCAAGTGCAGCTTTATTTAAATCCCAAAAGTGACCAAACAATAAACAAAGACTTGACTTGACATTAAACTTCACTTGGAAAAAAGTAAGAACTCGCCAACATAGGTTACAGGGATAATACTTGATGAGAGACAAATGCAACATGAGGTCAGTAAATACCAAACAAAGAGGGTCACATGACACAAACCAACCAAAGGGGAAACAAGGCACACGACTAAACCGGAACTATGGCTATGACAAAATAAGAGACATGAAACCGAACATGAAACAAAAACCCAAAACAGACATATCAGACATTATCCTGTAGCCATTAGGGATGGTAAGATTCACATCAAAGTTTTGTATCCTTGCATCGGTATAAAAGTTAACGATACGATGCATCGATTTAAAAAAGTGTGCATCGGATACAAGTTGCCTTTCGTATCGTAATGCATTGTTTCCAAAATATTTGCTTTGGTAAAAGCCTATTTATTTATATAGAATTATTAGTAGGTGCACTATGCTTTTATTTAGAAAGTGTGACCAATATTTTATATGTAGATTAATTTCGCCAGAGCGCGTACACACCTCACGCACCGGATGCAGTGTCGCGTGCTCAAAGACGCAAAAAAAAAGCAATTCCCCGTCACTTAGGACCTCCCACAAATGTGACTGTTGTAGCACTCCGGCATCATGCACACTCCCTGGATAGCCAACACAAACATCCCAGAAAAGACCTTTGCCATCCACAACTGCTTGCAGAACAACAGAATGCCAGCCTTTCCGATTGAAATAGTCTCGCAGATAGTCCTCTGGTGCAATTATTGGAATGTGGGTTCCAACAATTACACCGACACACTGTGGTACTCTCCAACGATGTAAAGAAAGTGGCCATTTCTAACAACTTGTCAGCATCAGGAAATCTCATGTGGACAGAAAGCATGATGACTGTGTTGCAGACATGTCACGGGGAGAAGGAACATATACTACGTGTTCCTTCTCCCCATGACATGCTTGACCCGAATGCAGATGTATTCAAATGATTCTGGGGACACATGTAGTGTTGCTGGGAAAGATGAGACATATTCAGTGATGTAAGAGCTGGCTCTGTGGTGGCTCTCTAGCTCGTAGAAAAACCAAACCGCTTCTTAGAAGGCTCGCCAGTCGAACCAACTCCAAACCGGCAATAGCGTTAGCTCTGAACTAGCACCCGGGTCATGCTGGTGGAAAAGGGATATGTGACTACGAGTTTATGACTAATTGCTAATTCCAGGTGCAACTATTCTGCATATGTATAGTAATAAATGGAATTCTGCATGTACAAAGTAAGACTAAACAATGGCCCGCAATAGGACCCAATTTTGTTCAATTTTAACAAAACAAACAATCAAATAAATACTGCACCTTAAAAATAGTCCACACCATGACACTTTTCTGGTATTTGAAATCAGATATTTCAATCAGCCAATCCTAATTTCTGGCTCACACTTTTCTCATTTTGGATTGATTCTGTTCTGCAGAAGCACATCGTAGGTTATTCCGGTCTCTTCACATCTAACTGTGTGGCTTTAGTCTTTGCAACTTCAGGGATCTTATCTATTCACGAACAGCTTGTAACACTCCAAAGAGAAAGGAAAACTTGAAATTGCATCATATGACCCCTTTAAAACAAGCATTTATCTAAGAAACCGTTACTATAATTATCTCTATATAATTTATACAGATAGATCCAAGAACAAACAGGAATGTGTGGGAACTGGAATCCATATCCCAGAATTTAAAATTAATATGTCCAAAAGATTATCTGATCAGTTATCTGTATATACAGCATAAATTGTGGCAGTCATTATTGTGTTACAGTGGGTTGAAGAGGTCAGACCTGATAGGGTGATATTATGCACAGATTCCTTAGCTGTCATAAAAAGCATACAGTCAATGACATCTATCAGAGAAGACCTACTGATAGAACTTTATCACACTTTGTTAAGATTACATAGGGGTGGCATAGATGTTCAGTTTTGTTGGGTGCCAGCTCACGAGAGAGTGAAATGGAAACGAAAATGTAGACAAATTAGCAAAAGAGGCATTGCAAAAAGAAACTTTCAACATGGCGTGAAGGAGTATGCATTCTGCAGTGCATTTACATTTATTTATATTTATTTATTGAAACTACTTACAAATTGTTGAACTTTTGTTGGTCTGATTGCTTGTTTTTCTTCTCATTGTAAGCACTATGACAAGTTCTACTTAGTCTAATGTATTATATGTAACAAGGTGTACATAAATAGAAAAATAGACTGAATAGATAGTAATAGTAATAACAGGTCAAGTGTTGACGAAAAAATGCGTCTCTGACTATTTCTTCAAAATGGAACATTTTGTTGGTTTTATTGTTTTTCCAAATACAGCTATTTTGTTAGTGACCATTTGATGCATAATGCTGTTATCCCAGTATAAAAAACATACATGTATTAAAATTTGAGAAATATTAGGATAATTATGAATTCTCCATGTTTCCTATTATATCTGAGAATGAAGCACTTGAACGTGACATGCTCGTAATTATGAATTCAGAAGTAGGAGGTGGAATGTTTTTGATGTCACAACATTAGACTTGGATCTGCAGGCACAGTAGTTGTGCTCATTGTGCTGTCCAGAAAGTTCAGCCACTAGCCTTCCTCTGAGGTTTTCATCACTCCAGTGTACCTCTGGTTCATCCACAGTCTCACTGTCGTCATTTAGTGTTTCTTCAGTCAGCTATAGATCAGCATTGAAGGGATAGTTGACCAAAAAATGGAAATGATCTCATGATTAACTCACCCTCATACCACCCCAGAAGTGTATGACTTTTTTCTGCTGAACACAAAGATCTCATTTGTGTTTTTCAAGGTTTTATGCAATTTTTTCGCCATAATGTCCTACTTAACCTCAACAGTGTCTTTATTGTCTATGCAGATATTGTGAAGAGCACAGCAACAAGCTGATGGTGGGGGCAAAGTCATGAATAATGGCTTTAAAGAATATTGAGCGCCACCAGGACTTCATGGGCCTGTTTACACCTGGTCATTTCATGTGTTTTCGCTGATAGGATATCTATCTGATTTGTTTCCATACGTTTCCATTTACACTTGGCCACATTAATGTGTCGTCGCAAAACGGATATAAATCCGATCTTCAATTCCCGCGCTATATTTAAATTTAACGGAGTTCATATCAACGAAATCAAAAGATAAGCGCTGCATTTTATTAATTATCAGCTCATTTCAAGATCAAAGACTGCAATAGGAGAGCGCGTTGAAAGATAAGTTTGTCTTACTACTTTTAATGAAGATGATTGTGTGTTGAGCGTCTGCGTCTTACTTTGCGGCAGTTTGTGCGTCGGCTTGCTGAAGAGATGCTCAGCTACTCGTCCGCAGTGATGCGTGTGCATTAACGCAATCATATCTGACTATAATGTCATATAGCCTATAACACGCTCTCACACGTTTATTATTTTAACATTTTGAGAGGAGCAAAATTTGCATATGCGGTTGCAACAACCAGATGCATATACACTTGTCCAGTTTCGTCTGGAATGCGGCCCAGACCACCTCCTGAAGTGGTTTGAGCGATCGGATTTATATCCGTCTCGAATGCGTTTCGGAGGGCATTTACACCTGGTCTTTACACGATCTGATAGCTATCTGATCAGACAAAACGCATGAAGTGACAAGGTGTAAACAGGCCCCATGACACCAAAGGCTCTCTCAATAACAGTTCAACAGAAAATTGTCTCGTGGAAGGTCTGTTGATTATAGTTATTATTTTCAGAACAAAAATTTGAACAGAAAATGTAAATATTACAGGGTAGTGTGACAAAAAGTCTACCATTAAAACTACTAACCTTCATTTCGCTGTCATTCACAGGTTCTCTGTAAGGTGTTATTATAGTTAATGGCTGACTGAGGCATGGGAACCCACCATCAGCTAGAATGTAATAACCTTCTGCTGGATATTTTTGGTGGATGAAAAAGGGGCTATTTTTCAGCACCCGAGAGTCATGCACAGACCCTGGATATCCCACAAAAATATCCAAAAATTTCATTTTGTGGTCACACATGGTCTAAAGAGTAATGGAGTGGAATATTATCCTCTTCAGGTAACATGCAGTGTCCTCACTTGGTGGCAGTGTTGCCAACTAATTTTCAGAGAAAGTTGCTAAAGGAAGGTCGATTTGTTGCTAAAAGTTGCTAAATGACGTTGTGATGCCATTGCTCAATGACGTCATTGCGTAATCACGACGCTAAATTCTCACGTCATCAAAGCTCAGCAAAAAATATATTTTATGTGTGTTAATTTAGATTTGTTTTTAAAATAATATGCATGATATAATATTAAAATATAAATAACTGTATTTTTAAATACACTGAATTATTGGAAACTTACACATTTTTGAATGATTACAATTTAAGTCTTTTTTAGTAGCTAGTAAACTAGTAATTCTACACATTCTCAACAATTATGCTTTAAGCAGTGTATTAGTAGTTAGTTAGTATGCTACACTCTAAGAAGAGTCTGTAAAAATAAGGCACAATCTACTATGTTAATATTAAATAATTTTCTGTAGGTTTTTTTTACCTGCATTTTAAATTACGCATTGTGATTTTGGGTTACAATGGATGATGGATAATGTCCTGAAAGATTTTCCATTTTTCTTAGTGTACTAACTGATCAACAATTGCAGGTACAAGCTACTAACAAAGTGTATCATAAATGAACAATTATTAAATTATCAAATTATTCAATTATTATTATATTGAACAATTGCAAATATCAATTAACTCAATTCTCGTGATGTGTGTACTGCTAGGCATCTGTGGTTTCCTCTTTTTGTGTCATTTGGATGGAACATGAGTGCCTTTTTATTGTCTGAGTCCTTATCAAAAGTTGCTAAAAGTTGCCAAATACATTTTTAAAATTGCTAAATTTGTTGCTAGGTGCTTTTGGAAGAAAAAGTTGCTAGGGTAGTCTGAAAAGTTGCTAAATTTAGCAACAAAAGTGCTAAGTTGGCAACACTGCTTGGTGGTTTAAAAAAAGTATTTTGAAGAGGATGCTTAAAAAGATCACTCATAAATGAAACTGTGTTCAAATTTAAGTTGTCCCAATACGTAAGGTGTTTATGTATCTGTGTAATTCAAAAGGGCAATCGCAGAATTTTGGAACAGACATTCAGCTTAACATCTTTTGTGCCCCATGGAGCAACAACATGAGAGTAAGTGATACATTCCAATCCTGTTATATTTACAGAATTTGTTTTAATTATAGGACAGTGAGATGAATTGTAAATCTGCGTATATGACTCTTCATTGTTGATTGGTTGGAATAACGATAATTTTACAGAACAAGCTGAAGGCCCACCTGACATCCATCATTGCAGCCTGGGCTGCAACAGCATTTTGGGAAACTCCGGAACCAGCAAGATCAGCAAAATCCTTGGCCAATGATAGGAAGATCCTCTGGTTGTGGAAAGGCAATTACTCTGCCAAGCATTTTTAATATTGCCTACTATATTGAAATTAATATTAATTGAAAAGAAAACGTTGACACCAAAAAAGATTAATATTTATGTCCACGTAGCCATATGTTATAAATAAACTTTAAATACCAATAAACCATCAAATGTTTGTATTCTGTAGGGTAAACACGATTTGTGCACTGTTAATAGTTACAGTTTTGTTTTAATATACATATTTAATTGAGTTTGAGAGATTGCATTTGTAACAAAATATGCATGTTCCTGCCATACCTTAGAGAGCTATCGTGGAATGTAATTGCAACAACATAACATTTTTAACACAAATAAAGGGGTTATATTGTGAATATAGATTTTATTTAACATGTACAATTTTATTAAATTGTTTAAAAAAATACATATTTTGTTATATTTAAGAAAGAAGTTGTGTCCCCCAAATTCATGTCTGTGGTGTTACAATAATGTATGTCAATTCTATTTGGATTACTTCCTGTGTGTAAAGGTCACTGCAGCTGCTGGTTGACCTGAGGGGTGCATGGGGAGTGCATTCTTTCTTATTAATGTTCTTAAAGTTAGCTACATTTCTGACAATTTGTCGCACTTTATTAGTGTCTGTGGTGTTATGTTGATAACTTGCAGATCTGACATATTTTAAGCAAAATTCGGATAAATACATATTTATTAATATTTCCAAAATGTCCCCTGAACTTGAAAATCATCATGATGGCAGCCTCCATATGAGAAAAGTCTGGATTTAGGCTGATTTGTCTGGTGTTACTGTCTTTCCTGGTAACACCACTAACCCTATGAAGTCTGTGGTGTTACAATACTTCAAAATGTATCTGAAATTTACTTATTATTTAATGTTTTTAGAGTATAAAGTCTTTTAATCTTTTAGAATAAAGACTATAAAGCTACCACAGACCATTTTTGCTGTCTTTAAAAAAAAATGTATATCCACTTTGGCAGAAATAAGGGCCAGATGAACAATTAGGGGATGTTCACATATAGTGTCTTTTGCGCGCTCAAGTTTGTTATTTCAAATGTAGACGCGCGGCAGGCACGCTCATAATGGAAGCGACGTGGTCATTTTTTCCAGGCGCTTCCGCGCCGCATCAAGATAAAGACATTTCAACTTTTCAGAATGCCGCAAGTGCACCGCGGGTCATGTGACAAGAACCAACCAATCAGCTTCATCCTTTCCCGTAACAACATTGAAAGCTCAGCCAAGATGAAGGAACAGCTGATCATAGCTGTACAGGGATAGCCATTTTTTAATAAATTTAGTAGCAGAGCTACTGCAAGCGATTTTTAGTGCTGCAAATCCATTTATCCTTTGCTGAAACTTCCGCGTCTTCAAGGAGAGCACAGGTCATGGTTGCTTAGCAACGGCAGACGCCTCTGAACGCTCTGGAAAAAAGCAGAAAGCGGCGCGCCTAGTGTTTTCCACACGTTTTTAGGTGCGACATGTGAACAGCCCCTTAAACATTTATTTTAAAAACTGAAATTTAAATGATCAATGAACCTGAATCCTTAAAGTAATTAATTAATTAATTATTACCTAAAGTTGCTTGCCCCTGCTCATTTTAGAACAAACCAAAATACAGTTACAGCCTACATGATGTTTAACATAAATACGTTATTTTTCAGTAAACGTGATTTGCTTCTGTTGTTATTTAGTATCTAACAAAGACGCTTACAATGACATTTACACACTCTTGTACGGTAGGTGGCGGTATGCAGCTAAAAGTTGTTTGCAATCTGCCATTAACCAAGAGAAGAAGAAACTGGACTTTTATTTTGGTCTGGCGATGTGACGTCATAAAGCTGCGCCACGCTCCTGCATTTCTTATTATTCGGCTGAAGAACGGTTTGTGCTTAAGTTTTTAAGTCAATGCAAACTGTTCTATCAACTTGCATGTTTTTACAAGCTACATAAAGTAAATGAATCAATCTTAAATGTTGTATTACTTTTTTAACGTTATTTCTGTGAGTAAAGTGCATCCTCATATTAGTAACGGAAAGAAGAAAGAAGTGAGAGAAACCGAGAATTCGAATAATCGGAACGAGTCATTTGTAAAAATGACTCAGTAATTCGAAGCGCTCGAATCGGCGCGAGCTGAAGACAAACGAGAACAACAAACACAAACTGCAATGCCAACTTTTACAAACCAGCTGCAAAATGTTTTCATGGAAGTGTAATCCATTTCCTATTACGTACAAATAATTAAATACCAAATATAAATCATAAATACCTAAATATTAACTTTATGTATAATTTGTATATTTTAATCTGGTCATTTAAGTCCATTAACTCTCAGAACTAGGGAGCTTATTGAGATGCACTCAGAGATTTAGTTTGCATTTATTTTTTTGAGAATAATTTAATTTCTGTTAATTATTCTCATGTTAAACAGGACAAAGAAAAAAAAACTCCTGCTGAAGCAACTGAGATCCACGTGACACACTATTATACAGATGGAGTTTATTAAAGAGGAGAGTGAAGACAGGCTGTAATATTACAATGAGAGCCACGTCACCAAGGGAGCGATATAAGACGCGCTCGTTTTCTCAGATGCTTGCAGAAAAAGGCTTACCAAAACAAAGTGATTGGGTTCATCTTTTTCACGTTTCCTTGGTTGGTAGATGCACCGGAGACCTGATTATTGCACTTAAAACCTGGAAAAGTCAGATTTTCATGATATGTCACCTTTAAGAGAAATTCTTAGGGTTTATGACGTTTCACCTAAAGAAACCCTTTGGTAACATTTAATGGATATTTTATGCAATGCCCTTAAGTGTAAGGGAAACTTAAGGGCAAACTTAAGGGGAAATTACACTTAAGGTGCTTTATGCAACTGAAAAAACTGATCTCAAAGATCTAGAAGGATTGTACAATGCCAACACACCCGAGATAGGAAGGGGCAAAATTATAAACTAGTAACAAGATTTTATAGCTAATTCTATATCAAACCAGCAACCATTTGGGCAATTTTAATAGCGGGGTAACTGACTCAAATTTCTTGGCAGACTTGAGCATCCTGGCAGCAGCTTTCTGTACTTTTTGAAGATGCGGCAATGCTCTGTTGTCAATTCCAAAATAAAGAGAATTGCAGTAATCTATTCATGAGAAGACCGTCACCATTATTGCCTTCTCAAAATCAGCAATTGATAAAAAAAAAGTTTAGTTTTAGCTAAAAGACGGGAAAAAAAACTTGTCCTGACGACAAAGTTAAAGGGTTAGTTCACCCAAAAATGAAAATTAGGCCATAAATTACTCACCCTCAAGTCATCCTAGGTGTATATTAGGGATGCTCCGATCAGGATTTTTGCAGTCGATACTGAGTACCGATTTTTTTGTAATGGTGATCGGTAGGGCTGGCTATCGAGTTCGATACTTTTTAGGCACAGACCGAATTGCCTCGATACCATCGAGTATCGAAAACGTCTTGTCGTTCGGTACCAAATTTCGATACCTAAGGGGTTAATCTCATCAGCGTCAGTGAGCCAATAAGCCTGCAGCACTTGCCGGTGTGTTCGACTAGAGGCGCGGCGCAGATCGATCATCCGCGAGAGCGATTCGAAAGCACACGGAGCAGTCTGCTCTCTTTAGCTCTTGTGGTACTATAATACCACCAGTATAGAGTAGCGCGAGAGCTGCGTGGAATAGAAATCATTATTCTGTTTGAGCTATGCGTTTTAAAACAAACACTAACTAGTGTAAATGTAGCCTAACGGATGTGTAAACTGAAGACTATTTGAGATTTATTAAAACTATTTTGCACTGATTTTGCACTGTTGGTTACATTTTGTTCCTTTGTGCAGTGGCTCAGGAGATGAGTCTTTGAGTTTGTATAAACATCAACAAGCTGAAAAATAAAACCAAAGTTTTTTGTTAGATAATGTAATCTTCTTAAAATTGATTTCATAAAATTGGTATTTAAAAAAGTATAGTTCAGGAACCGGTATCGGAGTCAAGGTATCGGTATCGATATCGAAAAATTTTGAACGATACCCAGCCCTAGTGATCGGCCGATACCGATGCCGATTCTGCTGCTTCAAGCTTTATATAGACGTTTGATCGGGCGCACGCGCCTGGCTCGAAGTTAACTTCCGGTCTGTGTTTGTTCATCAGTCTGGCTATGGCTCCGGCTACAAACGCAGTTAAAGTTAAGGTGATGAGTAGACTGATGTTGGGCTCAGGTGGTTGTGCTGTGGGATGTGTTTCCCATACATTTATTTATTTGTGGCGCTCGCCACAATATCAAAACGGACTGATTTTCCAAAAGGCTTCGTTGAATAAACATGAGCACTGCATGTTTAAATATCAAAATGAGGCGCTGGGGTTTTTATATCACTGTATTTCTGAAGGAAGACTAGCTTTAGAAAATTTTCGATGTCATTTTCATTTCATCTTGCATGTTATATGCCTGATAAAGCAGCGTTTGTAAGCTCAGCGCTGCTTTGTGTACAGCCGTTACCGGGGAAACCTCTCCCGCTTTAAAGCACCTCCTGCTGGCAGAGAATGAATTTGCATTTTCAGTAAGTCCGTCTGATTTACGCAGCAAACATATTTTGTTTTTCCACGGGTCGGGTAATAAAAACTGTATTCTGATTATTTGCAGGTGGATAAAATAAATCATGAATGATGCAAATATTAAAGCTGCCGTCCATAACTTTTTTTGGTGAAAAATGAAAATCAATATTTGAGCAAGTACATAATCAGCCAGTGTTCAAAACTATCGCCTAACTTTAGCCCGATTCACAACGGTTAGCTTTTAATAATAATCGTTTCTAAATTGAGTGATACAGGTAGGTTTTCGCGGGAAATTTGAGCATGGCACTGCGTCATTGCGTTACGTCTGTAAACATGAAGTTGTCCCGGCTACTAGGCCATCACATGTGAGGATGCTGCAGGTGACGGATCGTTTTTAGCCTTTTCTCACAGCAGCTGGATTAATTACATTTATAATTTTGATGGTGGATTCTAATCCATAAAGGATTATGTGTTTATGAAACACATGTGAATGAAATGAAATTATATTCCAGTTATTCTCTGACCTCATACGTCATCCGCCCGGAGCTGCTTCCGTGTACAACTGTTGGCGCAAGCTAGATTAAAGTGATTATTATGTTTTGAATATGGATATTTGTTTTACAAAAACGCATTGATTCACTACAGGAAGCCTTTTTTCACCCCCCGGAGCCGTGTGAGACACTTTTTTTTATGGATGGGCGCTTTTTATTTAACTTCTTTTGGACTGATGCATGCTACACCCGCTGAGTTGCATTAAACAGCTTGAAAGATCAAAGACAATTTTTTATATAACTCCGACTGGATTCGTCTGAAAGAAGAAAGTCATATACACCTAGATGACTTGAGGATGAGTAATTTATGGACTAATTTTCATTTTTGGGTGAACTAACCCTTTAATTTTTTTATCCATTTTTAAGTCTGAGTCCAGAACAAACGTCTCAGGTTACTTATGTAACCATGGTTCCCTGAGTAGGGAACGAGACACTGCATCCTCTAGGGGTCGCTATGGAGAACGCCTCGTCGTGACCCGTGTCTGCAGCATACCTTGAAAAAACACCAACAATCACCCCCCGGAGCCGTGTGAGACACTTTTTTTTATGGATGGGCGCTTTTTATTTAACTTCTTTTGGACTGATGCATGCTACACCCGCTGAGTTGCATTAAACAGCTTGAAAGATCAAAGACAATTTTTTATATAACTCCGACTGGATTCGTCTGAAAGAAGAAAGTCATATACACCTAGATGACTTGAGGATGAGTAATTTATGGACTAATTTTCATTTTTGGGTGAACTAACCCTTTAATTTTTTTATCCATTTTTAAGTCTGAGTCCAGAACAAACGTCTCAGGTTACTTATGTAACCATGGTTCCCTGAGTAGGGAACGAGACACTGCATCCTCTAGGGGTCGCTATGGAGAACGCCTCGTCGTGACCCGTGTCTGAAGCATACATTGAAAAAACACCAACAACTCGTTGGCCAGCAACAGCCATGACGTCACTACCGGTGCGACTATAGTATAAATAGGCGCCGGGAGCACACATCATTAGAGACTTCAGAGACTTCTTCATCTGAAGTTTGCGTCCGCAGCATGGCAAGAAACCTAGAGGACGCAGTGTCTCATTCCCTACTCAGGGAACCATAGTTACATAAGTAACCTGAGTCGTTCCCTTTTATGGGAACTTCAAACTGCGTCCTCTAGGGGGTCGCTATGGGGAACGGTATACCCACGCCACCATGCTGAGGGGAGTGCACCTACAGCATGTTCCAAAGCTGGAACAGCTAGCAATAATTTACTTAGCTGTGGGAGCAACACACCCAGTTCCCAGTCGAGAGGGGGGCTCGACCTACAGCATGTTCCAATGCTGGAACGGCTAGCAGTAGTTTACCTTGGCTGAGGGAGCACAAACCCAGCTCTCAACGAGAGGGGACTCGACCTACAGCGTGATTGTAAAATCAGAAGGGTAAGCGTACTGCAAGGTAGCCAAACACTCAGCGCATCAGGGAGGTAGAGGAAGGGCCTAAATCGTCTGATGCTGCTGGTTCCAGGTGCTCTGGAGAAACAGAGAACTCCGAATTCAGAGGAATAGCGTTGCTCATTCCAGGTAACCCTT